ATCAGCTGCTGGCCACGCCCGGGATTTCTTTGAACAAACCAATGACAATCAAGGGACGTGCGCGCCATAGAGATGACCACATCCTGTGTAACAAGACCCGACTCGCGCCTGGCCAATCGGCGGGGCCCACAGTCCCCTCCCCTGCCCTTTCTATAAAACCCACAATCCCATCAGGCCTTGCTCTCTCTCGGCCACTGGGCTTACCGTTGCATCGGTGAGTGTGGTTGGGGAGCCGAACTAGTTCGAAATGAAGGACTCTTTGCTTTTGCATCGGACTTGCTGGCTCCCTGGTGGGCTTTTTGGGAACCTTGAAATCTGGGCACAACAACTACCTAGTCTTTTAGCTTCCTACAGATTCTATCATTTCTAGAAATTCCTGCAATCGTGTGCAAATGACAGTTTCCACCCAACCTCTTTTTGTAACATCTTTCAAATTTTCATTCCTCTGAGTCTGGGAGGAAAACATAAACTCTAGAAGCCATGATTTGAAAACCTCCTGATTAGCCGCCTCTCACCCCCGGCAGGAATTCCCTTTATTCACCGCTCTACTCACTAGGCCTGAACTCACTTCCCTCCGGGAGCTGCAGTGAAGACTGAGCAAACATTGATCACCCACCCCACACTGCCCCCCACCGCTGGAGGGGGCTGTGGAGCTTCACAGTGTGTTACACACACCCAGGGCGCCACCTGGTTACCCTGCCCTCGGCTTGGTGTGTGGCTGCTGTTTCCCACCTCCTCTTCCATCTGGCACTATGGTTTTGCAGTTTAATTACTAGCATTCGATTAACATTTGCTATTGGCATTTAGACAGACTTTAAGTAGCAGCTGTCAGCTTTGAACGTTGTTATCTTTTGGGGACTATCAGACTAGAGTCCCTAGAACATACCAACCTCCACTGTGGTGCCTCTGAGGTCCGGAAGAAGTGATGTTTTATTTAGCATCACTCATTCAGGGGTGGCGGTGAAAATCTGATAGGGTAAAAATTCCATGCTGCAAAATGACACCATTTGTGGCAATTCTATCAGCACTAAGTAGAATTTTTGCCATCTTTCCATTGATAGGTTTAAAGCCCTGCCTTACCTAAGGGGCAAACATTTTTTTAGGTATCTAACAACCCACAAAAACATGATTTTAATCTTTCAAAGTTCTTTACAGTTTTTTTTTCTGATAACAAGAATAAAAATAAAGCATAGCCCTGGCCAGTATGATTCAGTGGTACAACGTCAGCCCATTCAAGGAAGGGTTGTAGGTTCGATTCTGGTCAAGGGCACATACCTGGGTTGCAGGTGTCAGCCCACACAAGGAAGGGTTGTGGGTTCGATTCTGGTCAAGGGCACATACCTGGGTTGCAGGTGTCAGCCCACACAAGGAAGGGTTGTGGGTTCGATTCTGGTCAAGGGCACATACCTGGGTTGCAGATTTGTCCCCAGTTCTCTCTCTCTCTTCTCTCTCTCTCTCTCTCTCCCCCAACCCCCCCGCCACACTCCCCCATCCCTTCTACTCTCTGAAAAAGCAATGGGAAAAAATATATATCTTCAGGTGAAGATTACTAAAAAAAAAAAAAAAAAAGTCACCACTATTACAAATTTGGTTCCTTTCCTTCCTGATTTTTTTCTATATACATAAACACAACTATATTTTATTTTAAAAATGGAATACTCTATATTTATAGTTTAGTAACCTACTTTATCCTCACTTGACTTACCAGTGTTTTTAATAGGCCAATTCAGAAAAAACATTTGAGAGACCAACGAAATTAGCCATGTTGCTGCCCTTTCCCCCCCCGAAAGCCCAAAAATAACAGACTCAGGAAGAAAAGTCTTGCTCAAAAGAAGGAAGAGCTGAGAATCAGGATTCAAAACTTGGGCACCTTTATGTTTTTTTCTGAAAACATTCATTGACGTGGGCCCGAATCCTATCTATTTCTGTTTATAAGTAGTACTCCATGAACAATCGTGTCATCATTAAAAATAAAAGGCCAGAAACTGGTCCCCAGGTGTGGAGGAGAGGCTGTTCCGTGAGAGCCACTGTCTGTTCCGCAAGCTAGACCTGGGCCAGAACAGAGGTTGCTTTCTGCAAACCCCCCTTAGAGAAGGTCTGATAATAACTAATGTTCATCTGACACAACTCCGCAGCCTCCCTTGGCTCCTGCTACATGCTGGTCCTGGGACAGGTTGTTGTCCTGACCTGGTCAAGCACGTAAAGTTAATTCCCGTGCCTGGTAGTGCTGGAGCACCATCCCCCCTTTACCCTCTATAATTCTTTCACACCTGCCACGAGGCACAGGGATCCATTTGGTCCTACAACCACTCACGACATGCCTCGGATGTCAGTTTTCCTCAAAAAACGCTGCTAATGACCAGACTGGAGTGGCTAGCCTCCTTCTCTGCCCTCTGTTTACAGAGGTTGATTTTCAGTCCTGGGGCTTTTCCCTGGGGCTGGGTGTACTAACACTATGGTCCCTCCTGGTGCAACGAGGAGACTGTCACCATGTCAAAGACAGAGTGAGCATCAATGTCACCACCACCTGCAACACAAGCAGGTCCCTTTCTAACATTAGGGGGTGGTAGAAGCTATAAGAGAAAATGCCAACTTGCCCAGAAAGATGTTTTATTTACACAAGGTATCACCAACAGCATCATTTCATTTCAGCCAAAGGAAGATTATAATGCGCCCAGGACAAGTTGAAATGTTTATATACGGAAACATACCCAATAGAACACAGAAGTAAAACCCAAACATGAAAAGGTTACTGTCAAAGGGGAACGTAATTATCAGTGAAACATCTATCCAGAATAAGAAATGAACCATTTCTAGCCCTTACTTTTCTCTCTCTAGCTATCTTTTAAACATTTTAAAGGTATAAGAACCCGCACGTAAGCATGTGAAATGCAGCTTGCTTACGTATCACACCTACTTTTGGGGAGTTCTGGACTCCTTAATGGCACTATGGGTTTTAGCATGAAAAGAAAAGGGGGGTATTTCCTGTCTTTCCTAGACAAGGCACAAAATGACCGTGTACATAGTACTTTGTGTTTTGCATCAACAGAAGAACAAATGGTATTTCCCTTGGATTAGAAAGTTCCCCAAACATCCTGGCGCATACCTCACTTTGTGTTCACTTGCCGTCCAATTATGCTTTAACAAGTAATATTCAATTGTCTTTTAAAGGGTTGCAACGTATCACATCCTTATTTTATTTATTCCCTATAAATATGAGACAAATGAAGTCCAAACACCTATTATTTCTATTCTCCTTCTTCCTTAGAAGGCATTTGTTTTGCTGCCTTGCAGCTGCTAAAACTTATTTAAATTCTTCTCCTGCACATTAAAAGTCTGTGAAGATGAGCTCAGGCAATCCTAAAACTTACCATGAATATAAGATGCACGCAAACAAGAGAGTGGTACCCAGTCCAGTCACCAAGTTTTCGTCTCTGTACAGGTCCTGACCAAAGTCAGGCACACAGATCGTAATGTTCTTCCCATGTGCATCCAGAACTTGCAAAGAAAAAACAAAGTAACCACAGTTAAATCAGAAAAACCTGCTGTAACTCACTTACTCATTTGGGGAAAATTCAGGTAGCTTAGAAGAGTCAAGACTTTTCACTGGGAGCTTCTACTCTATAGTACAACTCGACTCAGGCTAGACTGTGGCTATTTCAAAGCACCCCTCTCCCACCTCACACCTCTGCAAACAGGACCCCCCGATTCTAAAGGGTTCTTCAGTTCACAACCTTTGCAAGAGCCTTGCTCTTTTTCACCACTATTCAAATATTACACAGTACACTTAGATTCTTTTGGTTGTCATCAATCCTCACTCAAAGATCTTTTTTTCCATTGATTTTCAGAGAGAGTGAAATGGAGAAAGGGGATAAGACAGAGAAAGAAAGAGAAACATTAATGTGAGAGAGACACATCATCGATTGGTTGTCTCCCGCACGGGCCAGGGATCAAACCTGCAACCCAGGTATGTGTCCTTGACTGGAATCAAACCCTTCACCCTTTGGTGCTTGGGTCGACATTCTAACCACTGAGAAACACCCAGCAGGGCAACTTAGGTTCATTTTTCAGTTTATTTGGCAGCCACTGAACAGAAATAATGTACAGATAATTGATCACTCTCTCTGGAGGTGTGATAAGGGCATTCAACTACCAACTGAGTATCAGATAACAGCTATCTGCCCACAACCTCCCCCAGATGACAAGTCATTTTACTGCCAGTAGCAGGATGGCTGTGACCTCTTTCAGGCTGTAACCTGGGAACCTACTGAGGTTGTCTGGATTTTAAAAATATTTTGAGAGGCTACATAACAAAGATTTCTGTAGTATTACCATCAGTGGTAGTTTATTTTTTGTCTAACACAGTCTTCAATTTTGAACACCCAATCTAGGACTGACTGCCAACTCTGTCCCCATAAGGGACAGAAACCATTTTACAGACGTACATTCTAAGCGTTTGAAGTTGGACTAAAATTATTACTAGTACTCATGCTTGAACAGTAAACATAACTGTGTATGCTGTGGTTAAAGGAATCTTTATTCTTAGGCCAGTGAAAAATGTTTTCTTAAAAACTGACCAAATATGAACTTTGCTATTTAAGTAGTACCAGCTGAAATTAAAAATAAAAGTTGTGTGTTTTTTTTGTTTTTAAGTGATACCTGCCATTAAAAAGAAAACTATGTTAACTAAAACCCCAATAAGTTAAAACCAGAGATTAATATGTAGTTATAAAGTCCTAAAGAGACCAAGTTTAAATAAACTTAGTCAAAACAGAACTTTGTTTAAAAAAAATTATATCCAAGAGCAGTGGATAGAATGTCGGACTTCGGACTGAAAGGTCCTGGGTTCGATTCTGGTCAAGGGCACATGCCTGGGTTGCAGGCTCAATCCCCAGTAGGGGGCATACAGGAGGCAGCCAATCAATGATTCTCTCTCATCACTGATGTTTCTATCTCTCTCTCCCTCCCCCTTCCTCTCTGAATTCAATAAAAACATATTTTTTAAAAAATTATACCCAGGGTAGACTATACTTTATATAAGGCCTATAATTATATCACTTCACACTATAAATAGCTATAAAAACAAGACGCATACATAGTACGTACATATGCTAAACCTTTCAAATTATCTTTGCCTTTGCTTTCTAAATAAAATTTTTAAAAAGACCTTCAATTTTGTTTTTTACTGGCAAGACTCAGGGGCTTATACAATTACACTTTATAATATAATCCTATATAATAAAAGTGTAGTATGCAAATTGTCCCCTCAACTGGGAGTTCTTCTGGGAGTTTTGACCAGGGGGCGGGGCCAGCCAGGGGAAGGGAGGGAGGCCCTGGACAGCTGCAGGCAACTGGGGGAAGGGAGGGAGGCCCTGGGCAACTGCCGCCAACTGTGATGTGAGGTGAGGTGAGGTGCAGTGACATAATACAACACAATACAATATAATCTATAGTAATAAAAAGGGTAATATTCTAATTAGATCAGACGTCCTTCCGGACAAAGCCACTGTGGAGGGGGCTGAGGCAGAGGCAGTTAGGGGCAATCAAGCTGGTAGGGGAGCAGTTAAGGGGTGACCAGGCCAGCAGGGGGGCAGTTAGGTGGAGACCAGGCCGGCAGGGGAACAGTTAGGGTGCAACCAAACCAGCAGGGGGCCAGTTAGGGGTGACCAGGCCAGTGGGGACCAGTTAGGGGGCAATCAGGCCAGCAAGCAGAAGCAGTTAGGGGCGATGAGGCAGGCAGGCAAGTGGTTAGGAGCCAGAGGTCCCGGATTGTGAGAGGGATGTCTGACTGCCGGTTTAGGCCACATCTGGCAATCGGACATCCCCCAAGGCATCCCAGATTAGACAGGGTGAAGGCTGGGCTGAGGGACCCCCCCCTCACCCCTGTGCATGAATTTCGTGCACTGGGCCTCTAGTCCTATATAATAAAAGTCTAATATGCTAAGTGTCCAGTCATCCGGTCGGCCATTCAACCAATCAAAGTGCAATGTGCTAATGATATGCTAAGGCCACTCAACTGCTCGCTATGATGTGCACTGACCACTAGGGGGCAGACAGTCGACTGGTCGACCAGTCGCTATGATGTGTACTGACCAACAGGGGGCTGATGCTCTGACTGGTAGGTGAGCTTGCTGCTGGGGTCCGACCAATCAGGACTGAGCAGGACGGGCCAGACGCACGCTGGAGCCCTCCCACTGTCCCTCCCTGGCTGGCCAACCTCTCTCCCTGGCCCTGATTGTGCACCAGTGGAGTCCCTCGCCTGGCCTGTACCCTCTTGCAATCCGGGCTGAGGGAATCCTCCCCCTGCCCCCCCAGTGCACTAATTTTGTACACTGGGCCTCTAGTATAATATAATATAATACTTTGATAGTTCTCAAATAATCATTGCAACTACGAAACTAGCTTATCCTTATATAGTACCAACTATGTTTGAGAAACTGAATTCTTAAAAATCACCTTATAAAGTAGTAATCTTATTTAAGTGTCTTGTTATATTAAAATTCTTATTTTAAAGGCAAGGTGTCTAGGCAGAGAAAGGTAAGTAACTTTGTACAAGTTACTTAAGTGGCAGCACCAGGCTATCAGGCAGTCCAACTCTAAAGCTCATGCATGCTCTGTTGTCTCTATAAATAAGTGTTAAGATGAGCAATTCAAGGTCACACAACCAGCAAACGGTGCAGCTGGGCTCAAATCTCTTCCTGTTTCTTGCTTCCCACTTCCATGTTTTTTCTACTATTTGTTTCAGTCAAAGAAATGACTATCTGAGGAAAAGTAATACCCAACTAAAACAACAACAACAAAATAAGCAAAGAAAAATAAAAACATCCCTTAAAAACAAAGCAGAGAAATGCAGATTAGGCCTAAAAGCAAATTCAACAGTCTACCTTTGTACATGTCTCTCCTACACAGCAGGAAGACTAGAAAGAATAAATTTTCATCTTCATAACCCACCTTAAGGTCTTTGTTTATTGAAAAAGTCTTAATCATTTCTCTATTTTGATTTATTTCGAGTGAGGGGGAATAACTCAGTGGAAGAGCACGTGCCTGGCATGTATGAGACCCCGGGTTCAACTCCTAGCATCTGCAACTCGGCCTTCAACACCACTCTTGAAGGAACACAGGCTCCTCTTGATTTACTGCATCCCTGATATTTAAACAATAGCTCACAGAGACACACTGCTTCCTCCACAAATGAAAATATTCGTGCCACAAACACATGCTCCCTAACAAGGCCAACTTACCCACTTCTACAGGTTTGCTGGACAGAGCTGAGAAAGTGAGATACGTGACATAGCAGCTTATGAGCCCCGACTGCAGTAACCCGGAGTGGGGCTGCCCTGGAAAATGACAAGAGACAGAGTTTAAGACAGTATTTTAAATTTCAACAATAATAGAGCACCTGCTTAAATATATATATATATATATATAAAAGGTCTCCCCACCCTCCAAATGAAAATGATTCCTCAAACTTGGGCCCTGCCTTTAAAGGAAGGAAGAGGTACATAATGTGTTTGTCAGGTAACAAAAGATTTTGCGGGGAGGGAGTAAGCTATTTTCAAGGTGCCAAGCTCTGCCAAGTTCTCTACCAACACCTTACTTTTATAACTACAGCTGTACTTAAACATACTACCTGGTACCCCTGAAGTTTATAACATTAAGTTCTTTTTTTTAAAATTTCTTGGTGTATCCTCATCCAAGGTTATTCTATCCATTGATTTATTTTTTAGTTATTTATATATATTTTTAGAGAGAGTGGAAGGGAGGGGGAGAGATGCAGAGAGAGAAATATTGATGTGAGTGAGACACTTCGATTGGTTGCCTCCCACACGTGCCCCGACTAAGGCAGGGGATTGAGGCTGGGACCCTTCAGTCCACAGACTGATTAATGCTCTAACCAGGAGCAACCCAGCTAGGGCAACATTAGTTCTTATATCACAAGATCTCAGAAGAACACTTACCATCATTATTTCTGAGCTCACATGGCTTGGACAGGTAAATGATAGATTTCATAGGCCATGGACTCCTGATTCTACAAGGACAGCGGACACTTACAGTCCATGACAGTGGAAAAAAGTTCTTATTCATCAGTGAATAAAAACCTTTGGGACCTAGCTGAGTTGGTTCAGTGGATAGAGCATCGGCCTGGGAACTGAAGGGGCCTGGGTTTGATTCTGATCAGGGCACATGCCTGGCTGCAGGCTCGATCCCTAGTAGGGGGCATGCAGGAGGCAGCCAGTCAATGATTCTTTCTCATCATTGATGTTTCTATCTCTCTCTCTCCCTTGCCTTTCCTCTCTGAAATCAATACAAATATATTTTTTTTAAAAAAAAGAAAGGGATAGCAGACATGTTCAGGATGGCTCTAAGAAAAAAAAAAAGATAATAAGTGATATTTGTGCAGGTGAAGTACGAGGGCGCGCTATCTCTTATCTCGGCCAGCTGACAGAACGAGGGCTCCTGGGCACATGCCTGGCTGCAGGCTCGATCCCTAGTAGGGGGCATGCAGGAGGCAGCCAGTCAATGATTCTTTCTCATCATTGATGTTTCTATCTCTCTCTCTCCCTTGCCTTTCCTCTCTGAAATCAATAAAAAATATATTTAATTTAAAAAAAAAACAACCTTTAGGAATACCAGAGCTGGTCCAGGCCACAGAGGAAGGTTATGGGGCTCAGCATTCCCTGGGAGGAGGGCTTTAATGTTACAGCATTTAAATTAAACTTAGTGTTTATATCATTGAGAGTAACCAGGATGTGGTAAAAACGATTTATATTTTCTTGGTGAAATTTTCAACCACCTTCTGGCATGAAAACATTTAGTTTTATCCATTCTTCTCTCTGGTTAAATTTGTTTCCAGAATTATATTTATTAAATTACAATGGCCAATAAAGGTACAGAAACATACCTTTTAATAATGATGCTCTTTTGGCAAAGGAATAAGATTTACCTTAACAATTAATGGCATTAAACTAAATATTCAAAATATTATAACTATTTCAAAAGGTGGGATTTTACCCAAAGGATATTTTAATCTGAATACTAATAATGTTTTAGAAAATTCTTAACTGACCAACTAAAGTGATTTGAAAGAATAATACTCTCAATTTCAATAATGGACTTGAAATTTTTAGTACAGAAAAGCTTTTATATTATTCAACATCAGCTCCTTTTAACTCACCATTTTAGAAAGGTTTCAAGGGGCTATAAATTTATTGGCCATGTTTTCCTTTTCCTAGCTAGAAATCTAAATGTCATGTGATTTTTTTTATCACCTGTAGAGTAAGACACCTACAGGAAACTTGAAACCAAGGACAATTCTATCTATAACCAAAGACAACACACTGGCTTAAGATATCAGAAGTCATTTAAAAAAGATAATTGATGCCTATACTTTCTAAAGTACTTTCAAATTCCATGTCTCTTCCTTTTGGCTTTGAAACAACCATGAGCAAGGTCGGGCTCACAGGTTTCTGTTGGCTTTGCTGAGAAAGGGCTTGAGTCTGATGAAGACAGCTCATGAGGCCAGCTGCTAGGTAAGCGGAGATCGGATTTCCTGCTTCCTAACCACACTGTCCCTGGTGGCCGGCCTTGAGAGAAAGATGAGCCCAGAAACAGCTCTTTCTTGAGCCTTCTCATTCAAGTTTTACAAAGAGAATATAGTGAAGAGCTCAATATACAATAAGAGCATTTCCATTTAAAAGCTCCTTATAGTACTCTATTTAATAACTAGAGGCCTGGTGCATGAAATTCATGCACTGGGTGGGGGGTGGCCCTCAGCCCAACATGTACCCTCTCCAATCTGGGACCCCTTAGGGAGATGTCCGACTGCGGGTTTAGGCCCAATCCCTGTGGGCCTAAACCGGCAGTCGGACATCCCCCTCACAATCCCGGACTGCTGGCTCCCAATAGTTCACCTGCCTGCCTGCCTGCCTGATTGCCCCTAATCGCTTCTGCCTGCCAGCCTGATTGCTCCCTAACCACTCCCGACAGCCTGATCGACACCTAACTGCTCCCCTGCCGGCCCGGTCTCCCCCAACTGCCCTCCCCTGCTGGCCTGATCACCCACAACTGCCCTCTCCTGCTGGCCAGCTTGTGACCACATGGGAGTGGCCATCTTGTGCGAGGGTGTGACAGTCAATTTGCATATCATCTCTTTATAATATAGGATGGTAAAATCTATCTCCTTATTTTATTGGTTTAATTATGTTTAGATCTTTCTTGACATAAGCCATGCTTGACAGTCACATTCAGCCCACGTGGAGCATGAAGAGGAGACTGGAGTCCCATCTTTCCTATTGCTGATCCATGCGTGGTACATTAAGGAATGATTTTTTTTAAATTATTATTATTATTGGGTTTGCTAAAAGACATTATATTATAAATAAGGAAGAATGGAAAAAATTGTGCTTACGATTTTGGACACAGGGTGAGATGGCGACCAATGAAATCAGTACACACAGGCCTCCGTTTACTCCCAGGAGAATTTTGTTCCCCATGCAACCATCTTTCTGTGTATAAAACACTGCCATCAAAATCAAGCCTCCAGTGGCGATGGAGTACATGACGAGGGTCACCAGGGACAGAGCAGCGTACCACAGCTTGTTGTGAGTGGTTCCTGCGGTCCTATTTGTCCAGGAAGTGGGTGAGAGGGACAGGAGAGAAGACAAGTCAGTACCGGCCACTACTGACCTACATTTACTAGTACCATTAACTAATGCTGTCCAGCCCTAAGCCCATCAGAACCGAGTTGTCCAGGAGACCTATCATTCTGCCAATGATTATGCCACATCAAAGCGAGAAGGTACAGGTAAATATGCAAAAATTTCTTGGTTCAAGCTGAGAATGTGTTCTAAATACTGAAAGAATTCTGTTTTTGACTCAAGTGTATCCATCAACTATAATGACTATCCACAGGCTTTCTGAATGTGAATTACCCTGGGACAGGTTTGGGCAGGATTATTACAAAGTGGCTCTCTGCCGGAGCTCACTGCCTGTCGCCCCTATAAACCTAGAGACTGGAGGTGCCATGGTGCTCACTCCAGCGCTGCCAGCAGCTCCTGCTGACGCCCATCTAGTCTTCAGGGAGAGGAGCGAATTAACCTCTCTCAGAGAAAGACCGCAGCTCTGTTATCGCGGTCTGAAAGGCAGACTCTGTAATAGTTCTTCTCCACAGCAATGCCAAGTGTGATCAAGGGGAAATATGACACTAAACGAAAGGGGAGAATAAAATCAGGCAGAGAAAGAGTAAACATTTTAAGGGGATGTACACTGAATAATCTAAAAGAGGAGATTAATGTGCTTTCTAGTTTACAACTATTAATAAAGGGATGGGAGACATTAGTGGTGGTTTAACAAGCTAGAGAAATTGTTCGGAACAAAGAAAAGGGCGTGCTTAAAAACGCTAAATGAGGAGGACGGAGCAACAGGAAGAATGGCTTGAATCACTGTCTGCCTTCGGATTACACTGCCCTTTGTAAGCACATTCTCACAAACCTTCAGAGAAAGCAACTTGCTTACAGGTTTTGCAAAACTGGAAAGTGTTCAAGCAGCCCAGCTAAAATGTTTTCATGATGAAAAACTTACTGCAGCCAGAGACAAAGAAAATAGGGAGGGAAAGGCCAAAATGATGATGACCATTATATTCCTGAAACAAAGCCAGGCATTCCAGTGACCACAAAAGTATTCTAACATAAAAGGCACGCAAAGGAAAGGAAGAGAAAAACGAGACTCAAGAATAGAAGAAAAAAGAAAAATCTAAGAGCCAATAGTAATGAATGACACACAGAGAGAATGAATCATGTAGAAAAAGGTCGGCACCCTGTGGGAGGGGCCCAAGGGTTTCTTCACTGGCCTTCTGGATTATATTCTTAATATAGGAAGGACTTCCTTACAGTTAATTTATGCTTAATTTCCAGTTTAATCGTCAACCCTAACCTCTCCTCTCAACTCCAGTCTCATAATATCCAACTGTTCTGCATCCTCCCTTGGAAGTCTAATCAGCAAGTCCAACTTAACAGGTCCCGAGTAACTTCCCAATGTTCAGACCTCCACCCTAAACCTGCTCTTATTTGATCTTGCCAACCTCAGAAAATGGCAAGTCCATTCTACTCCTTGTGTGTCTGTGTGTGTGGGGGGG